ACACAGATGAAACTCGAGGGCATTATGCTAAGTGAAATAAGTCAGTCAGAGAAATCCAAATACTGTATGATCTCTCTTATATGTGGAATCTTATCTCCAAGCTCATAGATACAGAGAACAGATTGGTGGTTGCCAGAGGTGGGGGAGGTTGGGGGGGTGGGAGAAATGGGTGAACTGTTTTTGGTTTTCCTTAGTTTAAATAAATCAAAAAATTTAAGTACTACAATATTAAAGATGAATGAACCACAAATGGTATAAAATGTCTTTTTCAAAATAAAGGTTTCTGATGCTATACTTCTTAAAAAAAAGTAACAATGGCAGGAGAAGGAAAATTCCCCAGCACTGGCATATGCATAACTCCAAGGTAACATGTGCATATATGCAATTAGATATATAAAAGATATAGATATATTAAATTTCATGCAGCCTTTGAACCCTTACCCCCTCTATAATGTAATGGATGCAAAGGCCAGAAAATAGCCCAAGGTAGAGGGAGTAATATATGCCCACCACTGCCATAATTTTCATTTTCATCAAAATCTAAAGATTTACAAAGAGCTACCTCCATTTCCTTTATCCTCCAGCCAAGTGGAGGCACTTAAATGGTAGTGATACTAATAAATCCTGATCTAAAGCTCATGTTCTTTGCCCTACAACAGGCAGTTGGGAGGTTAAAGGTATCAATTCGAACACCTGCTGAAGGGTGAGGAACTTCTTTATGGTATCAGTAATTCAACTTTCTATTGAAAACTAGCATCTTGTAGAAGTCATAGTAAAAGGCATTTCTGGGTCAGTCATGGTGAAATGATTAAATTCATATTTCTCTATTGCTTGATTAGGTCACTGTTCACTAATGCCCTGTCACCATCAGCTTCTTTGAACTGTCATCTCATACCTGACACCAACGTGGTAAGCTTCCCTATAGCCAGTTTGGAAAACCAGTTAAAAACAGAAGGTGGTTTTCTTTCTCTACTATAAAGAGTTCTGAGTCATGGATGGTTACCTTCTCACTGTGCTTTTAAAAGAAGAAAGAAAATGCCTTCAGTTTGCTGGGAGCAAAAATATGTTCTTTTTCATCTGAAACCACTCCTTGCATCTCACTAAATATTACTGAGCATCCCACAAGAGCTTATCATCTTACCTATTTGCAACAGCAAACTGAATGTATTAGGAAACCCTCTTCAGACTGGTGGAGCCTAGCAGCTCAGGAAGCTCTGGGGAATAAAATATCTGACAGCAGGTGGCCTGGGTAGACCAGCTGTATGGCTGTACATAGGAACTGCCACTTAACAAGTTAGGGCAGCTTGTTCCTGTAGCTCATGGGGAGTTGGACACAATTCTATGCCCTTTAGACACTCTGAGCTGCCACGGGAAAAGCAGGCATTCCATCATGTCCTGTGCCTCCCTGTTCGTGTGATTTTCGTTTGTACCGGACAGAACAGTTTCATGTGCAGGAGTAAAAGCATCAGTCCCAGGAGATACTGGACCATTGACCCAGAGTCCATATGTCAGTAGTCTCCTTCCCTTTTGGGACTGGTCAGTTGCCATGGTAACTGGCAGCCAAGGCTTATTAGTGCTTGTTAGTGTTTAAAAGATGATTTATAAGCATGTAAATAATTGGCAGCTCATTAACAGGTGGGGCTCCTGAACTCAGCTGCCTTTGGCAATTATCTACAGGATTTGAGAGTTGTGGTCCTGTCCTCTGCAGCTGCCTATTTATCTGGCTCAGAGAGTATCAACCCTGAAAATAGGCAAAGAGGAAACAATCCATCAGTGGAGCGGGCGGACCAGACTGTGCAACCAATGGTGGTTGCTTACCTAGCAGATTGCCCAGGGACAGATGGGAGGAGTACTGGTTGCCCACTTTCAATTTTTCCTTCAGAAACTGTACATACTGTATCCTAAAAACAAAAAAACCAAAAATAAACCCTTTGTTTCTAGGCAAATTCATTAGGAGTGGAACCAGACTTACATATAAGTTGCTGTTTATATTGGAAGAGCCCCTTAGCTAAAAATACCTCCCTGAACTAGCGCTCACAGAACCTGACAGTGCATCAGAATATATGTATTGCATAACTTTCAGCTGTGGGGGGGGGGGCGGCTAGAGAGCAAGAGAGAGAGGAGAGACAGATGGAGGGGGAGGGGGGAGAGAGGGGGGAGAGAGAGAGAGAGAGAGAGAGAGAGAGAGAGAGAAATTGAGAGTTGTGTGTTGTTTGGGGGTCTTAGGGAAGAATAAGGCTGGGAGATAAATGGCATCGTTCAATATTCACAATAGTAGTAAATACAATAACCTTGCAGCTGATCATATTTTAAATAATTGGAGAGACCCAGGACTGCCTGAAAAGACCTAAGGAAACAGAGCCCTGAGTGTCAGGAATTGCAAGAGTTTGTCAATCAGAGGCACAGTTTTTCCAAACTGCAATTTTGAGAGGCAATTACCTGACTTAGATAATTCTAAGGTTTGAGGATTTTGTTTTTGTTTTTAATTTTTAAGGACCTCTTTCAATATGTAAAATGTTTCTACAGTTTTGGAGTCCTGAGTAATTAAGAAAATATACTCACTGAAGAATATAATGTATTCATCTCTCTAAGAAGTAATATATTGATTATTATTATTATTGTTATTTTGGCTTAATATATAAGAGAAGAACAGAGAGAGAAAATGGGAAGATAATTTGAAGATACCACAATGGTAATAAGAAATAGAAAGAGAGGGGCTTCCCTGGTGGCACAGTGGTTGAGAGTCCGCCTGCCGATGCAGGGGACGCGGGTCCGTGCCCCGGTCCGGGAGGATCCCACATGCCACGGAGTGGCTGGGCCCGTGAGCCATGGCCGCTGAGCCTGCGCGTCCGGAGCCTGTGCTCTGCAATGCGAGAGGCCACAACAGTGAGAGGCCTGCATACCACACACACACAAAACAAAATACAGAGACTCTGAAAGAGGAAAAGAATTTAGAAAGAAACAAAGAAGAGGGAAAAACTGGAAGCTAAAAAAATATTCCATCTGCAGCTTATTTCTTTCATTTATAGGGAATCTCAGGATCCTAGACCTAGGCATAGCCAGGCAGTGCTGCTCGAGGGACAGCACAAGAGAAGATAAGAATATCAGCTGTGCATTGCTCTGTAGGGCATTCCATCAACTCCAGGAGGTACACAGGCCGTCAAAGCCAGAGGGGTGATTAACCCTTCAATTATTTTCATTTCTGTAGTAGTATATTTTCTACCTCACTCAACTAAGTACCTAATTTCACTGATGAAGCACCTAACTCACCAGCAACTAGAATGTGTTATTCAGGTTGATTAAACACTACTCTATTTATGGAAATACCTTCTGTTTTAATAATTGGTAGTGGTACCCTCTACAAAGTCAGGGGTAATTATCTTGATCCTCTCTCCATCTTGCTGAGATTTTTTAACACACCCTAATGCTTTCTGGACAAAAGCTCTATTCCAAATAAAAATAACAAAACACTTATATAATTCTTACTATGTTTCGGATATCATCCTAAGTAGTTTGCATATAACTCTTAATCCTCTCAAAGTTTTATAAATTAGGCATCCTTATTACCCTCCTTTTACATTTGAGAAAAGAGAGATGTTAAAAAAAAAAAAAAACTTGCTCAAGAATTCAGCAAGGGGTAAATTATAAAGAGAGCTGGAATTTGAAAACTTAACACATGAGAGACTGCCCTCCTGCTTCCCACTGTTCCATCAACAAATGTATTGTGTGATGGATCCACCTCCAGTTATGAAGTAGGAAGTCATGAGAAAGCATAACTCTCACCATAACAAACAAAACAAAGCAACTGAGGTACAAAATCTGTTTTCCTGAACTCCTCAAAAAAGTGACATTTCAAAGAATCTCTAAACAAACTCAACTCCAGTGATGAACACTTCATAGGAGAGAAAACATATCAATACAAAGCTGCTCTCCTTCCTGGTTGACTAGCAGGAAAAGAAAAACTTCTCCATAGACAGGAAATCAGCAGAATCTTTAACAAAGATTTAAGGCCTATGTGTGGGTTGCTGGGACAGATTTGAATGCTGAGCCCCCAGTGGCAGAGTAAATCTGAATTCACTTACCAACTCGATTGCTTAGTAAGTGTTCAGGGGCAGTTACTCGAAGGCTTGAGAGTAGGAGAGGGGAAATGAGAGGGATAAATTTCAACGCAGGATTTCAGCTTCTAGGAGTTGGAGACAGACAAGAGTACTGAGAGAGAGTACTCTGAGGCATTCTGGGAGGACAGATCTCCCTAAACATAGGAGGACTGAAGGAGAACAAAGAAAACTCCCCAGAAACACAAAGAGCTGGAAGCCAGGCTGTGAGAGCTGAGAGATCTTCATGTTTTAGAAAGCTAATAGTTGGACAGAGAAGCATAGAGATCTATGGATCTCACGAGTGCTCAGATCCTAAGCCTACCAGAGGTAAATTCTAATTCCACTTTCAAAACATGTAAAGCCTGTGGTCAAACTAAAGTTGCAACAAAGTTCAAACATATCTTGACTAGAAATCTGATTTATTTAGCTCTTCACTCTTGATTTTTTCTAGAAATAAATAATACTTACATCTATTTCTACTGTGTTTACACAACATGCATTTAATGCCGTAAAATTTATGACACACAAAGAAGCAAGAAAATGTAAATCATGATCATGAGAGAATATACAAAGAGGGAAGACCCAGAGATGGCCCAGATAGTGGAATTATCAGTCAGAGACTTCAAATAAAGATAAAATAAAATGAAAATGAAAAGTCTAAAGGATCTAGTAGAAAAAGCAGGCAACATGAGTGAAGAGATGGGGGATTTTAACAGAGATATATGAATACTATATTGAAGAAAAATGTATTGAAATTTTCAGAAAAAAATCAATATCATAAATGAACAGTTCATTAGATGAATTTAACAGCAGACTGGAGTCAGAAAAGTATCCTTGAAGACAGATCAGTACCACACCTCCTTAGGTAAGGACCTGGTACCTCTTTCGTGACGCACTCACCAGGGCTGGAAGAAAAGCCCAAGGAAGGAGTCAAGATTGAGAACAATGATCATACTAATTTTAAGATGGCAGGGATGGATGGTTCTTTGGTGCACTTTATGATTAAGAGGCATACAGCACTTAGCAAACTGATGAAGCCTATTGTGAATGACAGGGTTTGTCAATGAGGCAGAATAGATTCCAAACTATTAGGTAACCAATCAATGAAACAGACACCTGCACAGTTGGAAATGAAAGATGAAGATGCAGTTGATGTATTCCAGCAGCAGATAGGAGGTGTCTACTCAAAAGGGAATCTGCTACTTTACTGTAGAACTTTGTTCCTCTGGAACATAAAGACATGTTCTCAATTAGAAAACCCAATTTGGTCCTACCACATCCTGACTACTGCAGTATAGTTTTCTCTATTCTTTCATTTTCCTCCTCCCCATTCCTTTACTGTACATAAAGTCACTGCTGTATGTACTCAAGCATACTGCATTTTTTAAAAAAAACCTAAATGGCCAATGGTATGCTTTGATCAACACCAAATGGAGATGGGACAGGGGAAAATTCTAGTTCTGTGAAAATAACACCCTTTCTCCATTAGTGGCATGTTCATTCAGCTCTTATCTTTATATTTCAGTAAGTTATTTCACACTCGCTGTTTAACAAAAAAAGAATAACATAAAAATCCTTGCATATTTTGTTCAGTTGGAGAATTTTAATCTTTTTTATTTATCATTGTAAAACCAAGGACAATATTATACCTTTTTTGCATGTAGAGCAATCTGCCTTTAAACAGGAATAAATTATCCTGAAAGAAATGAATCATAGTTTTCCCTTCACATCAAGCATCTTGTTTTCCCTGACCAGGGATTGAACCTGGGCCCTTGGCAGTGAGAGCAAGGACTCCTAACCACTGGACCACCAGGAAAGTCCCAAGCATCTTGTTGTTTAAATAAACTTCTTGTTTAAAATGAGGAAAAAACTGTCAGTAGTAGGTATCAAAACTGAGGCAAAAATAGTGAAAAAATAGAGAAGTGTTTGAGATCTGTGGGACAATATCACACCTAACATGGGTGCAGAAAGAGAACATAGGGAATAGGGTAGAAAAAAATATTTAAAGAAACATGGCAGAGAATGATTCAAAATGACTGAAAGACATTAGCATACATATCCAAGATCCTCAGTGGACCCCAGGCAGAGTGCTATAAAGCAAAACACACAAAAGCTCTTCATAGTCAAATTACTGAAAACAAAATATAAAGAAAATAATTTAAAAGCAGTCAGTAACAATAGATACATTACCTGGAATGGAACAACAATATGCATCATGGCTGATTTCCAACTAAAAATAACTGGGCAATATATTACTGGACAAAGCAATAATATAAAGTGCTTTAAAAAGTCAACCTAAAAGTATTATATATAAATCTGTCTATCTCTCCCTTAAAAAAAGAAAAAGAGAGCAAATAAAGTCATTTCAAAGAACAAAAGCTTAGAGAACTTGCTTCCAGCAACCCTGTACTACAGGACATGCTAAAAGTAGTTGTTCAGACTAAAGAGCAATGATACCAATGGAACTCCAGATCTGCTGGAATAAATAAAAGGTATGACAGAGAGTAAATATCTGGAAAAATATAAAACAATTCTCAATCTATATCTACATTTATACCTATCTGTGTGTATCTTTAAAAGACTGCAGAGCACTTAAAAGAAAAATAATAACAATATATAGACTGTATTGAGGGGTTCTTAGCATATGAAGAACTAAAATACAAGAAACAAAGTGCTTAATGGGCAGGAAGAAGGCAAAAAAACTACACTGTGGCATGGCTTATTATTTGAAGGTAGGCTCTAAGAAATCTAACATTCATATTGTAATCTCTAAATATATACTGTCCACTTGGGTAGTCAGTAGCTACATGTCCATATTTAAATTTAGGTAGAAAATAATCAAAATTAGATAAAATTTAAAACTCAGTTCCTAAATTGCACTAGCCACATTTCAAATGCTAAAGAGCTACATATGGTTAGTATCTACCATGCTAGGTTGAACAGATAAAGACTATTTCCATCATTGAAGAAAGACACTTTAGATAGCACTGCTCTAGATAAACCACTATAATACAACAAAAACACATATATCTAAATATTAAAAATAGTAAAAATGTGATTTACCTCAAAGAAAAACAAACAAATAAATAATACATGAGATAAATAAAAACCAAATGAAGTCAGGAGATTTAAACTATATCACTAATTATATTAAATGGTAATGAACTAAAAATTCTATGTAAAAGCCAGCAATAAGATCGTATAAAAAAGAATTAATTTTATAGATTTTGTGTAAAGACAGAGAAGTTGAAAGTAAATGTGTAAAAATTTATACCACTTAAACACTAAGATGGAGAAATCTTATTTTTTAAGATTAAAATTTGTTGTTGAATATACCATCTAAACACTAAGATTAAGAAAATGGTGTCGCTATCTTAATATCAGACTAAGTTGACTTCAAGGGAAAGAATATTACTAGAGAAATAGAAGAACATTTCATAATTATTAAGGAGTTGATTCATCAGGAAATTGTAACAATTCTAAATATGTATGCAACCAATAACAGTATTTCAAACTACATGAAACAGAACCTGACAGATTAAATGGAGAAGTAGACAAATTCACATTTGTAGTCAGAGGTTTTATATAACCATTATCCAATAACTGTATGTACATAATTCTACCCCAACAACTATGGAGTCTTTACATGTGCACATGAATCATTCACCAAAATAGACTATATACTAGGCCATAGAAAAGGTCTCAAAATATTAAAGAATTAAAATCATAATTTTATATTATTCTGTCTGGAATGTAATAATTCTACAGAGCATATTCTGGACAATATACAATGGTATCAAATTAGGAATTAATTTTAAAAAGCATTACAGAAAACCCTAAAATATTTGAGATTTAACAACCAATTTCTAAATAGCCCATAGATCAAAGAAGAAATCACAAGGGAAATTATAAAATATTACAAAATGAATTATATTAAAAACACAGTATATCAATATCTGCCTGATTCAGCTAAAGCTGCACTAGAGGGACATTTATAGTAGAAAATATGAATGATTTAAATGGTCAAAACTTCTACTTGAGAAGCTAGACAAAATAAAACAAATTAAGCTCAAAGTAAATAGAAGAAATAATGAAGGCAAAAGAAGAAATCAAATTTAAAACAAACAACAGATAATCAAAATGTCAAAAGTGGAAGCATTAAAAAGATTACTAAACTTGACAAATTTCTAGCAAGATTTATCAAGAAAAAAGAGACAAAATTAAAATTACCAACATTATAAACAAAAAGGGGACTTGACAAGAGATTCTACAGAAAATAAAAGGACAAACAACTTATGCCATTAAATTCTATAAGTTAGATGAAATGGACAAAATTCTTGAGTAATAGGCTTATCTAAACTGACACAGTAAGAAAAAGGCAATCTAGCCCTGTAAATACAAAATAGAGTTCATAATCAAAAATTTTCCTACAAGGTTCTCCTGGCTCAGACAGCTTCACTGAAATCTGATCAAGTATTTAAGTAAGGAATAATGCCAATTCTACATAAATTCTCTCAGGAAATGAAGAAAGAAGATACACTATTCAATCAATATAAGTTGATATCAAAACTTGGCAAAGATATTATAAGAAAAAATTATAGACCAAAATCTATTATGATCACAGATGCAAAATTCTTAATAAACAATATAAACAAATTGAGTACACACACACACACACACACACACACACACACACACACAGTGATAGAGTGATGCAACAGATGGATTTTATCTCAGGTATGCAAATGTCATTCAAACTATTTTTCAAAAATCAATTAACATAATTCACTATACTAACAGAGTAAAGCAGAAAAAAATGTAATCATCTAAATTGATGTAGAAAACTACACTTGAGAAAATTGAATTGCAGTCTGAATAAAAACTCAGCAAATTAAGACCAGAAGGAAACTTCCTCAACTTGATAAAAGACATCTAACATAATCCTACAGCAAATATGAACCCTAAATGCAAAATTTTATATGCTTTCCCCATACTCTCCCCAAGAAGAATGTCCTCTCTCATTATTTCTATTTAATATTTTCCTGGAATTTCCCTCCTATGTAATAAAACAGGAAAAATAAATAAAAGCTTGAAGATCTAACAAAAAGAATTAAAACTGTGTAATGTGCAGATAAATAATTATCTATGTAGAAAACATCATAGAATCTTCAATAAGGGACGAGAACTAATCTGTAAATTTAGTGAAATTTCAGGATTCAAAGTCAATTAACAAAAATCAAAAGTGTTTCTTGGCATGGACATATATACACTACCAAATGTAAAATAGCCTCGTGGGAAGCAGCCGCATAGCACAGGGAGATCAGCTCATGCTTTGTGACCACCTAGAGGGGTGGGATAGGGAGGGTGGGAGGGAGGGAGATTCAAGAGGGAAGAGATTTGGGGACATATGTATATGTATAACTGATTCACTTTGTTATAAAGCAGAAACTAACACACCATTGTAAAGCAATTATACTCCAATAAAGATGTTTAAAAAAAAGTGTTTCTATATACAGCAATGAAAAAATAGAAAAAATAATTTATAATATCATCAAAAATATTAAATATATAGGGGGAAAATCTACTGAAAAATATGCAAGATCTCCACAGTGAAACTACAAAACATTGGTGAGAAATTTAAAAGACCCACATAAACGGGGAGCCATACCTATGCTCATTGACAGAACTTGGTATCTTAAGGATGTTTTTTCTCCCTTAACTGATGTATAAATTTAATATAATACTTATCAAGTTTCCAACAGGCCATTTTGAAGATAATGGCAAGCTGATTCTAAAATCTGGGTAAATAAGAACGATCTAGTGTAGTCAAAACAATCTTTCAAAGAAAGTGAGAGAACTTAGCACTATCTATAACAAAATTACTATAAAGCTATAGTAAACAATACAGTGCAATCACGGACTTAAAGATATAATATATAGATCAACGGAAAAGAATAGAGCCCAGAAATAGACCCACACGTATAAAGTCAACTGATGTTCAGATAAGCACTGAGCACATTCAATGGGGGAAAGGAAAGTCTTTTTAACAAATGGAACTGGAACAAATTAACTCTTATACTCCATAACACAATATTAATTTAAGATAAATCTTAGACATAAAGCACAGAAGAAAAATAAGAATAGTATCTTGGGGAGCTTCTGGGAAGATGGCGGAAGAGTAAGACACGGAGATCACCTTCCTCCCCACAGGTACACCAGAAATACATCTACACATGGAACAACTCCTACAGAACACCCACTGAACACTGGCAGAAGACCTCAGACCTCCCAAAAGGTA